TGAAACCTGAAGCAACAAGAATGAGCCAGAGATGGACAGCACATGGGAAAACCCTGGGTGGGCAGATAGAGGAAGGAGATCTGGCAGGATGGGGTTTAGGGGGTACACAGTAAAGGAAAGAAACTGCTTACACCAGTAGAAGGAGGCAGAGATCAGATCATGTAGAAACACAGTGGAACTGTGGTTTCACTCAGAAATATGATGGGAAGCCATTTTATACTTTTAACTAGGTTATAGACAGTTGTCTTGGTAACTTTTTTCTCATTGCTAAGACAAAATATCCAACACCCAAAATTAAGGAAAGGTTTATTTAGCTCAGTTTGTGATGGTTTCAGCTGGCTACAAGGTGGGCTGGCATGGCACAGGGCAACACTTGCAGGCAGCAGCAGACAGCAAAAGCAACAAGAGCCAAAGGGGGCTGGAGCAAGCCTCTTTCTCCCTTATATTGTATGCCAGTTATCTACTCACATGCTATCTGCCCTCCTGCTATCTTCTTGCCCTCCTGAGGATGTTTACCAAGTGAGGACCCTGGCACCCTGCTCAGTTAAACTTCTAAAGTGGACACAATGTATAAACTATTAGAATGATTAGGAGTTGTTTTGTTTTGCACTATTAGGGATTAAACTCAATGAGTCTGCACTGAGCTACAGCCTTAGCTCATTTTCATTTAATTATTTATTTAATCTTAAAGTGAGTCTGGCTAAATCCCAGGTTGGGTTTCAATTTGGGATCCTCCTGCTTCAGTCTCCCACAGAACTGGGATTGCAGATGTGTGCCACCATCCCCAGGTGATTGGATTTTTATTAAAAGATTATGTGCTCTGATGGAGAGCAATATTATAGTCTGGAGGCAATATTATTATGGTCTTAAGTTATCACAGATGCTCCCTTCTTATAAACACATAAAAAGACTGCATAATACGCAATGTTTCTATTTAAATAAGAAAATATATCACAAAACTTAAAAGAAAGCTAAGTATGTAGAAAGGAGGACCCTATGTAATAAAGGGGTCATGAAGATTGAGATTCTTACATATATTTGATAAAAAAAACCCTCAAGTTCAGATCTTGAAAAAAATAGATCATGAAAGGATTAGAAAAACTCAGCCTACTGCTCTAGCAAAGTAGTAAGCAAGACTAGGATCTATGATTTAAGTAATCCCGACACTTGAGGTTTGTTTGTGTTGACAGTAATGACACAGTTAGAGATCACCATATGGGTAAAGAACAAACTCTTGGACCCTTAAACTGCTATTGAGCAAAAGCATGATTTGTGTTCTTCTCTGTGGCAGTCAAGAATTTAAAAATGGTTTCTGCTAAAAACCACTACTCTTCACTTGGACCTACAAGTGTCCACTAGGTAACTAAGAGTAGAACAAAGCTTAAACTTCATTTTTGCACCTTTTATTACTTTTAAATTTTGGATATAGTTATCACACATTTAAGAAAAGTTGACAAAACATAGTTTATTAATTCTAAATTTACTTAGCCTATTTCATTTGCCTTCAGGATACAGAAACCAGATGGTGACACATGCCTGTAATCCCAGCACCTTGAGGGCTGAGGCAAGAATGAGACAGGAGAGTGTGGCAAACCTAGCTGAGGAAGTGGGTATGACCTTTTAATTACAACATCTGAGAATGCATGAGCTGAATAGCTCCCAAAGCCGTGCATGTGGACTTCTCAAGAGAACTCCAGGTCGTTTTCAATAGGATGGCCGGAGCCTGACATCAGCCTGTGATGTGGAATCCCAGCACTGTCTCTTAGGACTTATATATAGAATTCTCACTGACTTTAAGATTTAGAGAGCATGAAAGAATTCAGATGCCAAGAAGAGCCTCATATTGTGGCTTTCCTCACAACATTCCCCCTGCATCCTCCAGAGTGTATCTGTATTTTGCTTTTTACTATTTTTAATCGGCCCAAACTAGCTGTGCAGAGTCAGTGTCTTTACTTTTACTTTTTCTAATAAATTTTGTCACTATTTTATTTGCTTGTTTCATTCAATTCTTTGTTGGAGCCAAGAAGAACCTGGAATCCAACTCCAGGAGACATGATAAAACCCAGTAATATTTATCTTGCAAGCCATTTTTAGAAGACAATTTCCCAGTAACAGTAAGACGTCAAATTCAGACTCAGCCTGGACAACTTAGCAGGACCTTGTCTCAAAACAAATAAACAAAAAGGGGTTAATGTATCTTAGTGAGAATGTGCTGACTTCAATCACTAGAATCAGGGAGAAAACAAAGATACAGAACAAGATAACTAACGCAATTTTCTGGATTCAGAGGGACATTGGATTATTAGCCTTTATAACACCCAGTTCTAGGCCTCTTTTTGGTGTGATAATTAAATGTCTCCAGCCATTCTCCTGAATTGGTAGTTACATAGGTTCCCAGAAAAGCAGAATCTCTTAAGACTAAAAACAGCTACCAGAACTTGAGAGGTGCAAAATCAAACCATAAACCCTGAGGCCTCGAGAAGCTTATGGGTAGGTCAGTCTGAAGGCTAATCTTCAAGGGAGTTTTCCCTTAATTTCTCTCTTTTCCACCTAAAGCTTTTTGTTGTTGTTGTTGTTGCAAATTTATGTTTTAGCTTTAATTTCCATTTCTACTAGCACAAGGAATCATGATGGCCAGTGACAGTATCATACACTTACGGCAATACCCAAATTTATATTTCCAGGTGAAAAAAACTACCTTAAGTCTGGTTTAACACAAGCAACAGTTTTTTTTTTTATTTTTTATT